TCCCAGCGCTCGCTCCATCCGTCCTTAGGCGTCCCGTGCGATATTCTGCCGTAGACACGTTCCGTCGTATCTTTGCTACCCAGTAGTGCAACATTGAGCTCAAAAGTCCAAGTAACGAGTGAGTTCCAGATCCAGAAAACCATCGAGAGAACGAGAACGACATTCGCGACGCGCGTGGCAGCGCTTTAGCGAGCCTCGAGGCTGGTCTACAGCCAATGGACAGCGTCAATCACACGCCGCTTAACGCGTTCGGGACCTGCAGAAGCTCTTAGATCTCTTAAATTGCTTGAGCTGCTTGAAGCCCTACCAAGCACTTGACCTGGCTTCACGGTTTGTTGATGAAACGATGAGAGTGATGCCTGATGATGCCAGGCTATGACGGGAGGTGCGGGAGGGCGTGAGATATCGGCGATCAATGCCGAGGTCGCCGTAGTCAGCGTAGTTGCGCGTCCGTCGTTCTGCATCTTCCCTCACTACCCTCATCTTCTCCCATCCCATTCTCCAACTAGATACCGTAGCTACTCCCTGAAATGATTATCGCATCAATTTAATGTTTCGTGGGCCCGATTGAGTTGTTCTTTGCCCTTCACCTTGTCTGAACTGCCCCTACGTCTTTCCCTGGTCCCTCGTACTGCACTGGCATACACACGGCAATCCAGTAGCCAGTATGGCGTCTAATAGAGAGGATGCCGAAGAGTATATATGTAACTGCCAACATTTCTGCAAGGGCAAACCGACACCTCTCAAGAAGTCTGCGTACTTCAAACATCGTGACTACCGAATGCCTCTGGCTGCTCCCGCGAGTCTCGTGCGTCCTGGTAGCAGTAAGCGAACAGTAGAGTATCCGCAGGAGCGAGATGATAGTTCCAAACGGTCAAGAACGGTACGTACGATCGCGTTCTTGGAGTCTATCTCGAGTCTGATCTGATCTCAGCTTCCTGACGAGCCGATTAGTATGCCCCTTCACGCACACAAGATCACAACATGGACGTCGATCCCGCTGTACGTCAGCTCCTTGCGAGTACCATTGCATAGGGCCATGTTCTTATCATTCATGAGCAGTTTGACTTCTCGCATGACCTTCAAGACGATCCGGATCCGGCACCACAAGCAGCTCTCCAGAAAGTGCTGGACGACTTCGATCTGGCTGCGGGTCCCGGCACCGACAAAGGCAGCAGTGCATTGGATCGCCTCGCTACTGAGATCGAGCGCATAGAGCTCGAGCAAGGTGCTCGCCGTGCCACGTCCCTTGACGAAGAGGACGAAGATCACGAGGATGACGATGTGGATGGGATGTGGCAAGGCCCTCTCCCCGATCCCAATAGACCTCGTGCTTCCAGTCCTGTTCGCAACGAAGACCGACGCTCTCCTAGCCCATCGCGATCTACTTCTCCTCGACGCCCCCCATCAACTCGATTCCCCCTCTCACGAGTTCCTGAGGTGCTCATGGCTCAGAAGTACCTGGAACTTCTCGACGGGGCGAGTCTCGACAATGAGGCTTACAGTGGCCTGGATGCCGATGCCCGGCACGATCTGCGCCATCCGTCACACGAGAAGCCTGACATGTCGGATTCAAAGACACGCCTCTCCCTGAACATGTATACCGCCTGTTGTCGCAATGCACCTGGGAAGACGTACGAAGAGGTTGCTTCCGGAATACGTACCGTGTATCCAGAGATCCCGATCTTGTCACTTTACGAGGTGAAGAAGCTTGTCGCGAAGGAGAGTGGTATCCGTACTGTCCCGGGTGACATGTGCAAGTCTTCTTGCATCGCCTTCACTGGCTACCTGGCTGGAGAGGAGAATGAGGTCTGTCCGGTTTGCGGGGCACCGCGGTGGGATCCTGTGGAGCGCGAGCGCACGGGAAAGAAGATACCGCGTCAGACCTTCGATACCAATCTCATTGGATTTTCGATCCAGGCGCAGTTCGGCACCGAAGGCCATGTCGATGCAGCTGCATACCGGCGACGCGAGCTCGAGCGGCTCATGCCAGAGTACGACGAGAAGGCTTTCGTATCGATTGTCGGCGACTACCCTTCGGGAACAGCTGTGCTTGACGCCAACATTCCCAAAGATGACATCTGTCTAATGTGGACCGGCGACGGCTTCCAGCTCTGGGAACTGAAGCAGTCGGGACTGCTATATATACCTCTGGATCTTACTGGACCTCCCTCCGCATCTTCGCTACAAGAAGGAGTACGTGATTCCAGGTGCCATCATCCCCGGTCCGAACAAGCCCCGGAATCTTGATTCGTTCCTGTTCCCTGGACTGTATCATGTTGCAGCGCTCAAACGCGAGGGCTTGCGTATCTGGAATGCTGCTCAACAGCGCGAGTATACCTCCCAGATACATGTCCTGTTCGTCACGGCCGATACAGTCGCACTTCCCGAGGCCAATGGCATGGTCGGGCATATGGGGAAGGAGGGCTGTCGTCGCTACTGTGGCTTTACTGGGCGTCGCAAACCCGGCAGCCATGGCTACACATATGCCCTGTATAAGCCCTGCGACTCCGATGACTCTGGCTCCAACGGACCCGATTGGGATCTCGCCCGCGACCCAGAGACGCCTCAGGATGCGTCTGATAGGTGAGTCATGGTTAATCTACCTACTGATACATACTAAGATGGCTGCAGATATTATCGAAACCTAGAGCCTAGAGCGCGTCTGTAAGGCCTCGCCAGGTAACGAGTACGAAACTGCGCGCCGCGACACGGGCTTGAGCAAGCCGTCCCTCTTCAGTGCTTTGTCCTGCCCCCTCGGCATCCCTGCGATGTTCCCATCGGATCTCAAGCGCGGCGACGACAAGACCTCGTGGGCATGGGTGTTCCTCGTGGGCGCCATCTTCAAACAGCACGGTCAAGATGTTGCCGACTGCCTTCCTTACCTTCCCGGTTCATTCGAGCGCCCTCCCCGCAACCCTTTCGAGAAGCTCAATAGCGGCTACAAGGCCTGGGAGTTTCTGATTTGGTTCTATGGAATGGCGCCTGCACTCCTTCACAACATCATGCCCGAACCGTTCTATACACATTTCTGCAAAGCTGCAGCTGCAGTGCGGATGTTACATCAACGCGAGGCATCGTTGCAGGACCTCCTTCTTGCCTACAAGCTCATGAACGAAGTCTGTGCCGAGTTCGAGACCATTTACTGCGAGTGCAAGACCTCTCGTCTGCATTTCGTCCGCCATGCTGTTCACATCGCCACCCACATGGCACGCGACGCAATTCGGCATGGCATGGGCTCGTACCTATCTCAGTGGGTCTGTGAGCGCACAATCGGTATCTACGCGTCACTCGTCCGTCAACCCTCGAATCCGTTCCACAACCTGTCATCGCAGGTCATGTTGCAGGCCCAGCTGCATGGCTTGTACGCTCGCGCTCCCGAGTTGGACCCACGAGTGCCACTGGAGTCTCGCTTGCCAGATTCCGCTGTGCAACTCCCGCATGGTTATGCTCTACTGCATCCCAAGGAGCGGTCGAAGAGCAGGGTCTCGCCCGAGCAGCGTGTGGCCATCGCGGACTACTATGAGCGGAACGGCGAGACGTTGGATGCAGGTTGGAAAGGACATGTGCGCCGGTATGGCAGACTCCTCCTCCCTACCGGCCAGTACGCCCGATCAGCTTGGCGGGAGACCCTGAAAGAGCTGCATAAGATCCGGATTTCGCGGAATGTCAAGGTGAGCTGTCACGTTCAACAATCATGCAGAATATTCCTCACGTGTGCATGTAGATTCGGAACGGCGAACAGATCTCCATCGGCGAGGTTCTACTTTCGCTTGAAGGTACACGGAAAGACTCGCACTGTCGCGATGGTGCATATGTATGGCGCTCCGGATGCAAACCTCATGCGCGACACATACGGCACGTACTACTCGTGCGAACAGCTGCCCATCCTCGAGCGCGGAAGCCTCGTTGTGATGGACTACTCGGCCATCCAGTCTGTTGTCGCTATGATTCCGCACGATGTCCGCTTCTTCCTAGTTGAGAAGATCACTTTGGGTGCAGGGATGCTTGGCGGCGTCGTAGAACAACCGCAACCAGAGCCCATAGATGTATAGGATGAACTGTATAAATTCTGCAATTATTTGACAGCCTAGTCAATGACACATTCGGTCGTCTACCAACAGTGAAACGGCCCGAGTCTGTCTGTGAATAAGGTGCACGAGAGAAGGGGCGCTCGAGATGAGACCATTACGCGGTGGCGCCGAAGTTCGGTGTATGATACACAGTCACTTTTCGGCTCATGTACTTCATATGCATCAAAACTACCAAAACATCAGATGAGGTATCATGCACTACGCTAAAGAGATACGCACATCCATCGTAATGATAGTAGTCACGGCCTCGCAAGGTTCAGAGATGGCCGCACATGGTACCTATTGAACAGATGTCCACTGTGAGATATTGTGAGATATGCCTGCGCAGCGTAACAGACACACCTGTGGCGCTGCCAATCGAACACCAGCGACATCTGGGTGCTGTATCCGGAGAACTATATGCGGACGTGCATCTTGCGCACAGGGCCGCGCGGGTACGATTCGGTCATTGCGTGTATGAGTCCCAGTGGCTCATAGGCCCAGAACGAACTTGCTAAGTCGAGCGGGATCGTTTGAAAGCAGTCGGTGTTGGGTGGGGCAGGCAAGGACAGGGTTGGGTGGGGTGTAGCTGTGGCATGGGTCCCTGATTGTTGATGTCGAGCTGAGCGAAAACACCCGCAAGAGGTTTATAGCTGGAGAAGACTACGATCAGGAATAGAAACATATAGACAGACGTGCGCGGTCAATTCGAATGACAATACGTACCTTTGCGGTTGGGGTCGGTCGGGTCGAAGTGACGGCGAGAAGAGAACACGCCGTCGCCGCGGAAAGGCCTTTGCTCACGAATTACACGGAATGTAAACGACGTCGACATTATTCGCCCATCTCCGGCCGACCCTCCGTATTTACAGCCCCAAACTTCTGGACCTCCAACCTCAGCTGCACGTAAACCTCTACGAGTTCTTTGGAAGGTTAATCTCCGAACAGGACAGTGACGGAGAACGAAGGCAGCTGTAGTCGCCGCGGCGCGTCTTCTGAGCCGCGTTGTGCGACTCGCAGTGAATGGGCGCGGCGCGGGGATCACGTGCCGTGGCGGATTCCGCCAATCCGCCAAAGACAATTCGGTTTGTCTTCAGACAGTCACGCTGTCTGAAGACAGAAGCTTCTGTCTGAAGACAAAATGGGCTGTCTTAAGACGAAATCCACTGTCTAAAGATAAATCCCCTTGTCTAAAGACAACCGGATTGTCTGAAGACAGCGTGTTCTGTCTGAAGACAGTGCACTCTGTCTGAAGACAAAGAGTCCCGTCTGACGACAGAAAGTGCTGTCTGAAGGCAATATTCTGTCTGAAGACAGCATTTTTGTCTTCAGATAACCCACTCTGTCTTCAGACAGATGTGCCGTTTTCCTGCTTTGATGTCTGGTAGCTACGACGCCTGAGGCGCAGAGAGCATATCAAACTAGCTTTGATGACAGC